CTTTCGATAGACACCTTGGTAGTAAAAATTGAACGAAAATTGTTTCCTCAGTTACTAATACCCCTACTGCACAGTTTTTTTGAGACACCCTTTATATATATATAATGCATATTATGAATATGTGTTAGCGCATATATTAACCATTCTTATGTGTATGTGTATTATATACCGATATTCATCCCCTACGCCCATCTCCCCCTTCCCCCCTGCCCACCACTTTGATACCTGCATAAACTTTGTGTATGCATGCATTCAGTAAGTTTTAACTTCTTTAAACGATGTTTGTTTTCAGATTTCTAAAGCTTTTTTGAAAATTCTTAAATCTGAGATTTTATTCAAAAAATGCTTATTTTCATTTGAATCAGTATTTAATGTAAAGGACTGAAACCAAGGACGTACCGCCAGCACTAGATGTCCTGGTTAAAAGTCCAAAAGTATTTAAGTCAACAAGATAGCTGAACTACCATACAGAGAATCAGCAGAACAAACATGTCCCCCATCATAAATTTCTATCTTTGATGTGTTTTTTTCTGAGTGTTGATCTTGAATTTGTTTAACAATAAAATTAAGTAAACCGGAAACCATGAAACCAGAAACCAACATCTTCAACCAAACAGTGATCATGACAGGGCTGTATATTTTCTAGAAACCATTTCCCGGATTTGAGGAAATTATTTTTTAGTCTTTGACTAGTTTTTCACCTCTTTTTTGTTTTGCTAACAAATCATTTATTTCATCACAGCAAACACATTTACACTGCTTGCCGCGCGGTAATGGAACCAAATATTTAAACAAAATATACAGCCCTGATAATGAAACCTTCTGGTAGAGATATAAATGTATGTTGATTGCTGTGCAATGTGCAGGTATCTAATACATAATGGAGGTTAAATACAATTTTTAATTTTAAACAAATAAATAAACTTTTCGAAAACAGAGTTTAAGTCCAGTTTAAAAAAACCTGGGACAAAAAATGTCAAAAACAGAGTTTAAGTCCAGGTTTAAAATAACCTGAGATCAAAAACATAATTTAAGTCCGGGTTTAAAACAACCTGAGATCAAGAAATAGAGTTAAAGTCCGGGTTTAAAACAACCTGAGATCAAAAAACAGAGTTTAAGTTTAGGTTTAAAGTAACCTGAAAAAGTTCTAGCTTAGGTTTAAAACAATCTGAGATCAAAAACAGAGTTTAAGTCCAGGTATAAAACATTCTGAGATATATATATATTGTAAACAGCCTATATGTATATTGTAATATATATATATATATTGTAAACAGCCTGAAATCAAAAACAGAGTTTAAGTTTAGGTTTTAAACATCTTGAGATCAAAAAACAGAGTTTAAGTTTAGGTTTAAAACAACTTGAGATCAAAAAACAGAGTTTAAGTCCAGGTTGTAAACAACCTTAGATAAAAAAAAAAAGAGTTTAAGTCCGGGTTTAAAACAACCGGAGTACATATATTACTTACTGGAGGTTAGCTCAAATTTTGAATTTTAACTATGTCTGTTGCTCTATGCTCTCATCAAAATAAATAGTTTTGTATTGGATTTGTGAAATAACGAAAACAAACAGACAAACGAGCAAACAAAAAAGACTTTCCGAATTTGTAGATAGATTTGGATTGAATTTCCATAATCCACGTTATACTAAAAAGAGAAAACACGAATTCCCTTCAACCTATTTATGTAATAAAACAAGACATTCATATGTATGTTGCCTATAGCCGGCCAAACAGCTAGACCGAATGGGCTGAAATTTTTGGTGGACACTCATGGGTGGCCGGGGGGTGTTATAGGCTAAAAAATGGAACTTTTGAATTGTTCAAAACTTTTTTTTCTAATTTTTTTTCCACGGGCAACGCCGGGCCTTTCAGATAGTATACTATATAATACATGATAACTGATTATTAAATTTCAAGGCAGTAAATCTATCTATAGTATTTAGTCGTAATTATATAAATAATCAATCTATTTATAATTTCATGCTTGAGACTGATATAGGTAAAGATAACATTAGAGGAGCTACCCACAAAAAGAATCCCGTGAGATTGAAATCTTATATGTTTTCAATCCGAACTCCTTTAATTGAAAAGCTATTGACAAGAACTAAAATGTTTTGGATTTAAACATCTAACCAAGTTTTCTCATACATGTGCGTAAACTCACAGCTAGAGGATCTACGAGGTCACAAAGTATCAAAGTCATCCTTAATATCGTCGTTTAAAAGGTCTGCAGTAATATCAAGTGGAATCTGAAGACGACATTTAATCAAATTTATGTTTATTACATTGTTTGTTAAAAACTACAGTTTAACCAATAGCTTTATATCAACTATTGTGAAATTAGTCTGTGTATATATATATATTATATTGCACAATTAGTCTGTGTATATGTATATTATATTGCACAATTAGTCTGTGTATATATATATTATATTGCACAATTAGTCTGTGTATATGTATATTATATTGCACAATTAGTCTGTGTATATATATATTATATTGCACAATTAGTCTGTGTATATGTATATTATATTGCACAATTAGTCTGTGTATATATATATTATATTGCACAATTAGTCTGTGTATATGTATATTATATTGCACAATTAGTCTGTGTATATATATATTACTAGAAAACAAGGGGCTTCGCGCCCTTCTTTCTAGCCTTAGTGGGCGCTTCGCGCCCATCTTCTAAATTAATTGTGAACATGTTCTCTTTGTGTACATCGTAAAACAAAACAAAAATAATTCGCGGATTTTCAAAATTTTCAAAAATTTAATGACAATCGAATTTTGATGGAGACAAATATTTGAAATTTTGATCATTCATAAACCTTCCCTGGGGTCCCTAGATGTCCCACAAAAAATTTGGGCCCGATCGGTTCAGCCGTTTTGACGTTTATTGGATACAAACAGACAGACAGACAGACAGACAGACAAGCCAAATTTATATATAGATTGCACAATTAGTCTGTGTATATATATATTATATTGCACAATTGCTGTGTATATATATATTATATTGCACAATTGCTGTGTATATATATATTAAATTGCACAATTAGTCTGTGTATATATATATATGTTATATTGCACAATTAGTCTGTGTATATATATATGTTATATTGCACAATTAGTCTGTGTTTCATATCTTTGGACTATTAAAGTGGTAACTTAAGTCTTACAATTCAACAGTTTTATGGGGTTCGCTGTATCTAAGAGCTTGAAAAAAAAGAGAAAATAAAAGTACAAATCCAAAAACAACATAATTATTAGATAAATTTCTCTTCTTAAGTCCTTGTGTGTCAATTTACTCTCCTTTTATTAGATTTTCTAACTATTAGTTTTCTAACCCTCAGAAATGTAAAAATGAATGATTGTAAATTAAATAAAAGGCACTTCAACTTCAACACTTGTACAGACAGTGAAACACTTCAAACTATCAAAATTTCTGAAAAAATTACGGAAAGATAATTTTAGATTTTCTAATGAATGTTTTTTGTGCACCCCCCTAAAAAACCGGTATTAAGAAAAAATTAAGTTAAAAATCTATATTAATCTACCTGAAGGCTGACTATTAGTCATCTGACCATTAATTACCAATCATACTATTATAAAATCTAGTAGTAAAAGAGCAAAAACCTTAAAATAAAACCCCGCGAAAAAAAAATATCTTAAATAAGATTAAAGTACAAGAAAGAATTTGAGAAATAATCTTAAATTGGACAAATTGAGACATTGTCGATTGATAAGAAAAGTAAAAAATCTGAATATATTTAAGTTTACTGTTTAATAAATTAGAGCCTGCCTCTGGCTCTAGGGGGGGGCCTAGGGGAGCGCATGTCTAGGGGGCACAGGGGTACCACCCCCACCCCTCTACGCGCCTGTGGGTAGATATTTAGAAGAAAAACGTTAAAAACAAAAATTGAATTTTTTAGAAATATATGATATAGAAAGATAGATATATAAGATAGAAAGATAGTTAGTTAGCTATTTAGAGATACCTAGCTACAACTACAAGTACAAGATGTTTGGCACCGTTTCTAGTTCTAAAATTAGTCTAATACTAGAATTAGTCTTGTCCTACAATAAAGTATATATATACACAGTATACAAGCCAGGAAGTGTAGCATTTACAAAATACATACTGACATTAATACAAACAAACATACAAACAAACATACAAACACCAATACAAACAAACATACAAACAAACACTAAAACAAACAAAAAACAAAGGATCAGATTACTCGTAACAAACTCGAATGTTTGAATCCACAAATCTTTGCAACATTAAACATTGTACGAAAGACTTTTAAGACTAAGAATTCAGCTGGGAAAAAATTCTTAATCTATATATAAATTTGACTTGTCTGTCTGTTTGTTTGTTTTGTAAAAAAAAAATTAAATTCTTGAAAATCCGCGATTTTTTTCTTTAAAATCCGCAAAATTTTTTCTTCTTCTTTGTTTTAAATGTAAACAAAAAGAACATGTTCACAATTTAAATAGAAGATGGGCACGAAAAGCCCTAAAAGCCTAGTATTTTAAAAAATCAAAAAGGAATTGAGTTTTTGCCTCAAACTCTGATGTTCTAATCCTAATATCTTTGCCATCCAATGTCGTAAATCTTATATATTTAAAACTATATATTCTGTTAGATCAAATAATTTAAGTTTGCAATGTCTAAGGTTTTTGTCACCAGGTTGGACAGATATAGGGATTAGAAAATCAGAGTATGTGGCAAAGACTCAACTCCTTTACTCCAGGGAAAGATAGGAATAGGAAACTTGGAGAGTAATTAGTTCATTTAAAGAAAATACTTTTTAGCTATCCCAATTTAACTCTTGAAATACAAATCAAAGTGTATAACTACCTGAAGTATAATCTACCATGATGTGCAATTCTAATTCATTATCTGTATTAATAATATTATTATCTTAACTATTTGTATGTTGACCCAGCCGGGCTAGCCCGGTCAGTTAATTTTTACATGTTTATAAATAAAGTAGTTGAATATCGTTAATTGATCAGAACGGACGTATACAGAGCCTTGAGTTTTGGCTAGAGATTTAGTTAGAGAGAATTTCATTAGACTGTGAGTTAAGTAATCGTTAGAGAAGTAGCATCTAGATTTGTTACAAAAGTGGTGGCAGCGGTGGGATTATAATATAACCCCAAATCTAGATGCCAGAGACTCCGAAAGTATTTCGGAAGAAAAGTAAAGTGAGAACCTGGTTTAACGGATTAGCCAGAGAAGTTTTGACAGGAGAGGATTTGCCTGCGAGAGTGTCAAGTGTGGCTACAGGAAATACAGTGGCTACCTTTCAGGGATACCCAAGCTTACCCAGCGATTCTGAATCGGAAGTAGAGATGGAGGGACCATCTTACCCAGCGATGGATGGCCTGGCGGAGATGAGGCAGCAGTTTCAGATGCTACAAGCACAGCTGGCGGAGACTAAGGATAAACTGGCGAGTATTGAGCGGAAGGATAAGGAGAAATCATTCGCCCAGACTTGGCAAGAGGCAGCTACACCGGAAACTCAGGATCCTATCGGAAGAGTAGTGGAAATACTAGAACG